TCTATTATAGACTTGCATGGTCTGTATTGGATATATTTGTTTCAGGGTCTGTATGACAGACTAAGTGTTGAGCTGTTTCTGTTTGTAGTAAGGGACTTTGTGCCATGGGGAGAGGATGGGCATGTCTGCTGACCATGCGCTCCTGACTGCTGATAAGCTGTTGACAGTTTTATTACTAAACAAGATCCTTTTGGATAGGGCCATTCCTGTCGAAATGCACAGGTGTACCAAGATGTGTAGCTCCAATTTTCTATTTATGTAAGTGCTAGGGCACCGGTAACTTTCTCCTGTTGTTGCAGATGGGAGTCCCTGTTCATGGGGTCGTGACATTAACTACGCACTTTCCCTCCACAGAGCATGGGCAGTGTGTACCAGGCCGTGAAGGAACATCTCCTTCTTGAACTTTCCTGCTGTCTGTGTTTAGACTTTTACCTATAAGATGTTATCAAAGGCCAAACATAGGTTTTCATGTCTGAGAAAACACACTGTTGAAAAAACAAAGGACAACAAAACATAATTTGTCTTGAATAGAATTCCCAGGGGTTTAGCTGGACCTGCTCGGAGGAGGATGTTCACCCCCATGCATGCAGCAAATGTCAATAAAAACTCCCAAACTGGAATTAAAACTCTCTGAATGCATGTTATGTTAATTTAGTTGTGACTAATGTTATGGCTTTGTTACCATGGTAACGGTGATTTGTGCATCTCTGATAACAGGACCAATGAAGAGAAAGATCTTTTTATGCTTAGTTTTACATGACTGCCCTGAATGTTGTGTTGAAATGCCTCAGAATTTAGGAAAATAGAGCCTTTAGATCAAAACACAGTTTTGATTAAATCAAAGATTATTTTTCCTAATATTCCCACCAAGGGCTTGGTTTAGAATCCTAGATAAAGCCAAGAATCCTGACACTGAAATTGTACCGGTACCAGGGAACCTCAGAATGCTCAGTTCATTGTATGTATGGCCAAAGACAGACAGGATTATAAGAAGCTCAAGCAATGCATGTTTATTAACATGATTAAAGAGCACACTGACTTGTTTTTCTTGAAAGGCTGTCGCTACATGGCTGAAACAATGCCGATGCAACGTTAAATTTTTTACACTCTTGAAAGCCTGTATAATTTAATTATGCAGTGGTTGACAATGCTTTTACCATGTTAACAGATAGCATCTAGCACCATGGTATTACACAACAGTTGCACTTGAACAGGTACATGTGCACTATGGCTGTCAGCTATCATGAGGTGTTGCTACTGGTTTTGAAAACATTAATGTCAAACTAAAACTTTGAACAACTTTATTATCTGACCTGATTCTTTAGGAATGCTCGGAGTTTGACATTTAATCCAAGGTCTTCAACAAATGTTGGTAGAAATGCCGAAACTGGCAACAAATACCAAATCAGGTCATTATTCTCTGGTAATAAATGTCGCTAAAATGTTGCTCGATTTCCTGTATTATACTGATCATGCTGAATAGTATAGGAGAGGATTTAATTTTTACCTCCAACATTTTTACAATGTTAATAAACCACTAAATGTAGGACAATAAGCCTATCATTATTCAGGATTCTAAAAACAATCCCAATATTGGATAAAATAAATTTATCTCAGTTTGTTTGGCACAGGCACATAGTTTCGTAACACAGATCAATGCTTGTGATTGGATGCAACTTCAGAGGCACAGATGGCCCAGTCGTCTAAGGCGTGGCAACTCGCTGTGCCGAAATGCATCCCTTGGGCATGCCAGAAACCTATGATGGTGGGTTCGAATCCTGGTTCGCCCTGATTATGTTTGTAGGATTGTCAGCACCATACCCGGTTTCACCGAAGTGGTAAACGTCTAAGACCTGCATCACATTGAGCTTTCCTCCTACATTTAGCTGACACACCGTGATGTAACTGGAATACTGTTTAAAGCGGCGTTAAACCCAACTCACTCACTCACTCACTCACTCACTCACTCACTCACTCACTCACTTCGGAGGCCTGAAGGTACCGAAGGAAAGGTGTCATCCTTGCCTGTAAACACGCCACAGAGAGTGTTATACAGTGAAAGCATGTTGTCCTTGTGACCATTGGAAATCTGTCCAATTATCGGTCATGCAAGACAAACAACCTCTGGTTCTAAGAAGTGTGTTAATGGGATCGTTTGGTCATACTCGGTGACTTGCTGGTAGTGGTCACACTCGGGGACTTGGTTGATGCATGTCAGGGTGGATCGTTGTTCACAATATCAGTCACTGGATTGTCTTGTTCAGTCTCGATCATTTACATGACTGTGACCTATAGCTAGAATATTGCCAAGTGTGGCTTTGAACAACAAACAAATCTCTGAACATCGAGCTGATCCCATGGTTTCACTGTATGTAGTTGTTGCTAGCTGTTACCATGGTTACAGGATGCCTATTCTTGGCATCATCAAGTTAAGCTGTAATTTGGCTGCCAATTTGCACACAAAAACTTGATAAATACTTGTCTGCCACTCATGAAATTAACCGTCATGCTCATCATGAAATCAACAACATCCATGTGATGCATCAACATGGGGTGAAATGTAATCCACACAATGTATCCGACATGCCAGCCATGCATATCACTTTATCATCCCAAACTGGCTCCCACAGGAGATATCGCTTGGATGAGATCAAGCGATATCTACACTGTAGATATCGCTTTTGCGATATCAACACTGTAGATATCGCTGCAATGAAATTACATCACAATGCTTTGCAGACCATTGTGACATCACTGGTTACCATGATGTCACAATCAAATGACATCACTAATGGCTCTGCTACTGAAGCTGTTTGCAGTACTTTTTACACTGAAGACACTGCTAATTACTGTCTACAAATTGAAAAAGTTGAAAAAATGATGTTTGATGATAAATAAAATCTCACCCTCGTGTCTTTTGATATCAAATATATCAACACTCGTTGATAAAAGTGGCAAAAATCCTCGGCAAGCCTCGGATTTTTCCACTTTTATCAACTCGTGTTGATATATTTGATATCAAAAGACACTCGGGTGAGATTCTCTCTATAATGACTCTTAAAACCCTCCTGGATATGTTACTGACAAACAGTCTCCTCATAACCAGTTAATAGTGCATGCTTGAAAGCATGTGTCCATACACCATCCATTTCATCATATGTTGTGGAGAAGAGTGCATTAACAAATGTTTAAAAGGGAACTGAAATGGATTTTAAATTATATTTAATATGTTTCCCACTACAAGTTTTCTGTATAAACACCTGACGGAGATTAAAGTCCCCAGTTCACAAGTTTTTAGAATGTGTTCTCGCAAAAAGTAATTTGTCGCCGCATTATGAAGACTATTGGGCATAAACCATGCTGAATGGGAGCGGGAGAAAGCATATTGACTGTTTGCTTTATCCAGGCTAAAACAAACATGGCCAGATTAAGGCTTTATTTGACGCTCTCTCGGCCCAGCGATTGTTGGCCGATGTTTGCTTCTATAATTAGCCGGAGGAATGTCTTGTTCCTGACTGCCGTGGGGACTGAGTCGTGGTCAGCATCATTTGAGATGCATAGTCAGGTGGCACCAAAACTGCAGTGGCGTAGCTTTAATACCAAGTATGATGATGAAGAGGAAGACATTGAAACAGTATTACAAAGTGCTATATTAAAGGTACACATGTATATGTTGACAAAATGCTTATTACACTTATAACAGTTATACAATGTCATAATGTTGTGTTTGTGTACATTGTTATGTCACAGGCCTCAAAGTTTATTTTTTACCAAGTAGCCGTATGACTACAAGTATTTTTTTCCAGGTAGCCAGTGGTAAGATCAAGAAGTAAAGCCAATATTGTAGGTAGCCAAAAGCATTTGAAATTATCTTTTATCAAATAACTATTATATGTACAAGTCTTGGAATTGTATGTTAGTGGAAACTGTACATGCTGTACTTGAGATTTGTTATTTGTGACTCGAACAATGATGCAATTTATGTTACTAGGTTATATAGGTATATCCTTGCTTATCCTATGAGCATTGTCAACTAAAATAAAATACTAATTACATTAATATTTATGCATTTCGGTTCATTGTTGACTTTAGGAGAAATTTTTTGCAAGTACAATCAGTAGCAGACATGTTTATTTTTGCGTCTACACATGTGTAGCAATAGAATTTAGTCGCCACAAGATATTTTTGAAGGTAGTTATTTGGCTACCTCTGAATTTTAGAAAGTAGACAAATTGAAATTTAGGTCATTGGTCAGCGTTTTAGTCGCAACTTTATGACCTGCTGTCAAGAGATATGTCAGTTTGGATTAAAGTGGTTGTGTTGAAGATCCAGGTTTAACAGACACTTTCATCCATAAGTGCATATCACCATGTGGTTCATTTCACAACACTCCTTAAGCAATATCAAGTGTTTGGGGTATTTTTTCACATAGTCTATAGAGACAATTTTAACCATGTTAAACCATTTTAAACCCTTTTTTTTATCATGATGATGATGATGATGAGATGCCTTTTTGCTTCATTAATGATGCCACCCCTCCCCTAGCAAGCCCAAACAATGTTTAGGTATGAAGTCACCACCATCCTCCAGACCATTTTAAACTATTTTTGATGATGATGATGATGATGATTATGAAGTGCCTTTTTGCTTTATGAATGATGCAAACCCTCCCCAAGCAAGCCCAAACAATGTTTAGGTCACCACCACCCTCCAGATTCTCTTACATTTTTTGTGCCAGCCTCACTTGTTTCTGATTCGAACTCCTCCCCAACAAACACATATACATTTACATACAGCACCCACCCACCCAACCAACCTGTATCATGTACATCAGATAGAGGACAGGTCACCTAGCATGATCATGTTCATAGTGCTCAGTGTTTCAGACTTCCATCAAAAGCTGAGGCAATATCATGTATTTTGACACACATTACCAGCATCGTGTACTACCTTGAGTAAGATAGTTATGCTATAATATATCATATGTGACACTTTTTCAGACTGGGAAGATGCGATTGTGAGCAGATGCTCTTGGACAGAATGAAGACGTATAACTAGGTGAGACAAGCATCTTGTTTACCCTGTGTTGGCAGGATGTGATGTGTTTATATTGACACCAGGACACAAGGGCCGGCAGGGCTACACCAGCTTGTGCTGGGGGGACATGGCGTGCACCAAGGTGCACACTTGTACAGAGTTGTAAGAAGATCGTAGTACGAACTTGTACATGTATTGCAGTGGCAAAGGTTGTATTGGCACTGCAAGATACAAAAAGGCCACGTTATACTGTGTTAGGCCAAACAAACAAAAGTTGTGTTTCAGGTAATAGATATGGGTCAATAGGTATTTTTTGTGGTATTTTTGTCCCTGTTTATATATATATATATGTATTTTTATGGCTATCGACACAGATGGTTTAATCAGCATGTTTTAAATTAATGTTACAATGATATGGTTTTTTGGTAGGTCAAAATTACTGAGGAAACCATGATGGAAACATCAAAGTCTTTCCCAAATATTAGATATGGGCTTCTCAGCATCTGTTTCCAACGGAGATAAATAAAATTGTGTTGCAGCTGAAATAATTGGTCGCTTGGGTTACCTGAAACACAAGTGAATTTATTTCCCGTAATAGAAAGTTGTGAAGATGTGTACAAAGAAGCTTGCAGTGCATTGTTGTGATAAAGAGGGATGCACTGTGATCATGGCAATAGAATGGTGGTTTCTGGCTCATCTGTATTGTGTATGAAACATGTTTATACCTCATGGCCATGATGTCTGAAGAGGGTGTTCTGATCCCTGCATGGCCAGAATACAAAGCTGTAATCACTGGTAATGTATTTGGATCACAAAAAATAACAATGGATGTGTAATGGAAGGGAAAATGTCATGCTGGCAGCTGCATTTTAAATATCAGCCAGTCCCATGACCATGATGACTTGTTTTAGCAATGTTAGCTGCACAGGCAAGAAGTAAAAAATGACCAAATTGAATCGATGTGATGTGGTGATTACTGTGAGGATGAATACCACCAATATCTTAATGCAAAATTAATCAAGAGGAAACCAGACAAACCAGTGACTGACAGCATGAGCAACACCATACTATTGGGTCACATTGACACTGCCAAGTCAGATATGGACCCCATTCCTGGCACTAAGATGATCATAATTCCTATACTGTATCATAGACTTACAACGACCCGTGAAGATTCCGGGGTAGAAAAGGTCTTCAGCAACCCATGCTGGCCGTAAAAGGTGACTATGCTTGTCGTAAAAGGCATCTAACAGGATTGGGTGGTCAGGCTCGCTGACTTGGTTGATACATGTTATTGATCCAAATTGCGTGGATTGATGCTCATGATATCAAGCACTGGATTGTCTGGTCCAGACTCGATTATTTACAGACTGCCGTCATATAGCTGGAATATTGCTGAGTGCGGCGTTAAACAACAAACCAACCAACCCTTTAACCAGCAAATATACTACTCCAATTTTGATAAGGAATTTTTTATCTTTCCATGATACACAAAAATGATTTTCATAAAATGCTATAAAGATAAGTGTACATTTAAATAGAAAACATCTGTGGTTATCCCTATCAAAAGGGTATAAAGCCTTAAAGAAATGCTGTTTGAAACTGAGTAAGGCGCTTGTGTGTTCCAGATTCCCAGATCAACCCTTCGTGTCGTAGCAACATGGAGGTTGTGGTTGTGGTGGCCATCAGTATTCTTGCCACAATATTTCTTGCCTCCCTCGCAGCACTAGTATTTGTATGCCGGCAGAGATATTGTCGCAAAATGGACCTCATCACAGCTCAGCACAAGGATACAAGGTAAGATGATGTCATGTGGCAATTTTTTTATTTGTACAATAAAACAATCATGACAAGAATGTTGGGAGATTCTATCATATAATGGTGTGTGTTTTCGAAGTGATAAGCCAGAAGCATGATATCACTATATGATAAATATGCAAATGAGGTCCTCTTGCAGGAACTGCTTTCAAGCTCCATACACTGCTGAATGCTGTCTTTCTTAATTAACTATTGACTGACGATCCCAATATGCTTAGAAAGGGGTTCCCCATGTGTCACCGTGTTTAGCTTAACAAACATGTTGTAAGTCATTTGGCATGATAGTGTAAATTGGGCGGGTCACCCAAACATGGATACCTGTTGATCCCCTCCGTGGCCTAGTAGTAGAGCGTCCGCCGGAAGGTTCGGGGTTCCATCCCCTAGCCTAGTTGACATCAGTATTGATAATCAATGATAATAAACTCTCAATCATGATGATGTCAAAATCATCGCTTCCATTTAGTTACCCGTGAAGATCCGGGTAAGAATAGGTGCTCAGCAAGACATGTGACTAACCAATAAAAGTACCTTTGTCATACATGACTGTGAGACCCGTGAAGATCCGGGGTAGAATAGGTCTTCAGCAGCCCTTGCTTGCTGTATAAGGCGACAATACTTGTCATAAGGGGGCAACTAACGGGATCGGGTGGTCAGACTCGCTGACTTTGTTGATGCATGTCATCGTATCCCAATTTGCACAGATCAGTCTATACTGTCAATCACTGGATTGTCTGGTCCAGAATGGAATATTTACAGACCCCAGTCTATATGTGAGTTGCAAATGCACTATGAATAAGCTGCTCTGTTATATGTTGTTCTGGATAGTTTATTGATCTTGTGATTTCCGAGCACCACATCTGATTGGATGTGCAGGTGCATCTGAATAATGTTCATGTCTTTATTCTTATGCTATTCTATATCAGGTGTACCACGACAATCCTAATTCTCCTGTAATCCTGTGTGTTTTGTCAGGCCTGATGTGCAGCTCATCACATCCGACCCGGGGCCACAGACAATGACTGGCGTGGAACTGGACGATGTCCAGATAACCAACCCCAAGATAGAGGAGATCCTCAAGGACGAGCGATGGGTGGACGATGCCACGTAAGTCACATGTCCTCCTTCACCTTCTGGCAATCATGACCCGTCACCATTATCTACTGGATATGGTGTCTGCGCGAAGAGTGGAAGATTGGTGGTTCCATCCCCGGCCCCGTCATACCAACAGACGTTAAAGATGCTACTTGTAACCCTGCTGGGTGCTGGGCATTAAGGGGATAAAAGAGGGACTGGTTGGTCCAACAATGTATGCTGTGTCTGAGTATAGTATCTATGTTAAAACAGCCCCACGCTTGCTGTAAAAGGCGACTTTGCTTGTCATAAGAGGCGACTAACGGGATCGGATGGTCAGGCTAGCTGACTTGGTTGATGCATGTCATCGATCCCAATTGCGTGGATCGTTGTTCATAATGTCAATCACTGGATTATTTACAGTCCGCCATCATAAAGCTGGAATATTGTTGAGTGCAGCGTTAAACAACAAGTGCTAAGTGCTATAATCTTAAATACGATGTTACTTGTGGCAATGTTAGCTGCACAGGCAAGAAGTAAAAAATGACCAAATTGGATCGATGTGATTTCGTGATTACTGTGAGGGGGAATACCACCAATATCCCAGGGCAAAATTAATCAAGAGGAATCCAGGCAAACCAGTGACTGAAAGCATGAGCAACACCCCACGATTGGGTCACATTGACACTGCCAAGTCAGATATGGACCCCACTTGTTGAAAGGGGCCCTTCTTTGGGGAAACTAGATCTCACAAAATGCTGAAGATTTATTGATTTTGATCTGTAATCCTGAATCAAAAGGGACGGTCGGGTCGCCTAGTGGTTAAAGCGTTCGCTCGTCACGCCGAAGACCCGGGTTCGATTCACGACATGGGTACAATGTGTGAAGCCCATTTCTGGTGTCCCCCGCCGTGATATTGCTGGAATATTGCTAAAAGCGGTGTAAAACCATACTCACTCACTCACTCCTGAATCAAAATTCAGTGACAAATTTCAGTGAACTATAGCAAGTGTATTTGAAAGTAAGTCATTATGGAAGGGAATAATTGAAAATCAGATGTCTTGAAATGGAATGTAAATCCATCAGTGATCATTGTAAATTGTATGCTGTGTGTGCTGCAATCATATGGGTCGGAAAATGTGATATGGGATTGGATCCCAGAATTATTTTCTCAGTCCCAAATGTGTGAAAAACATGCCGTTCAGATTGATGAAATAAGTCATTTATTATATATCAAGTTTGAGTAGTATTTATCAAAATATTCCTGGCTTAAATTTGTTGTCTGGGTTTGAATCCCAGATAGCACTGATGATGATCCTTGGTTTCACTTTGGACTTCCCTCCAATATTTAGCTGACATGATATTGTTGTTAAAACTGTTTAGAGCAACTGAAGACCCATTCACACATACTTGAAAACCAAAGAGAACCTTCACCAGTATTGGATAATAATTCAGTGAAGACAAGTGGTTGAGAAAGTTAAACTCTCCAGAGCAAATTGACATAAAATTGAAATCAGTTATTGGGAATATGATTTACATGACAAACATACTTGTCTCATGACATAGCTCACCTGATATATATGTCCATGGTCTGATTGAACACTAATCTTGGGATGATTCTTACATGTTTTTCTGTCACTTGTTTTCAGTGGATTAGTGCCTCACTGTATATCTATACTGAAAACTTGCCACCAGTTGACAGAGAAATTGGTTGGCATGACGATGGGCAATGCTCAGAATATCCGGACACAGGAAACACTGACAGATATTGTTGCCATTGCCAAAAGAATCAGCCCTAGAGTTGATGAGGTGGTGAAATCCATGTACCCCCCTCTAGACCCTCGGTTACTTGAGGCCAGGTGAGTAACGCTTTTATCACCCATTAAGCTCCCCCTAGAGCCTCAGTTAAAGGAGGCCAGGTGAGTTATGTTATTACCAACCATGTACCCTCCTCTAGAGCCCTAGTTACTGGAGGCCAGGTAAGTTATGTTATTACCAACCATGTACCCTCCTCTAGAGCCCTAGTTACTAGAGGCCAGGTGAGTAAAGGTTTTGTCAACCATGTACCCCCCCTCTAGACCCTTCGGTTACTGGAGGCCAGGTGAGTAAAGCTTTTATCACCCATTTGGCTCCCTCTAGAGCCTCAGTTAAAGGAGGCCAGGTGAGTAAAGGTTTTGTCAACCATGTAATGTAAGTCCTCATCATGAGAATATCCAACCTCATTAAAATCAGATCTTTTACTCCCATTCTATACCTTGCATGAAGATCTGGCAGAACCCTTTACAAACGAACTTTGATCTAACTAAAGAATTCATGGGTTCTTGGATCAATCAGATGTCGGCTATCTTAAACTATATTCTTTCTCTACCACCTTGATTAAGAAACAACAAGGTGCATAAAATATCCACAACATATTGTGCAGCCTTTATAATTTTCCATTCAGAACTGTATGCTTATGTTTATTCTTTGTGATCAGAAATTCAATATGCTGCTCTGAATTGTTCACTCAGTTATACCAGATTGTCAGATTTTAGCAGTAACAGAGTTTAAGTTCTGATTTTGATCTGATTGGTTAATAACAAATATAACAGGTCAGATCAGGACTGTTCTGTATGTGGCTTCCAACTTAAGTATTAGCTGTTCAGGGGCGGCAGGATAGCCCAGTGGATAAAGTGTTCGCTCGTCACGCTGAATACCCGGCTTCGATTACCCACATTGGCACAATGTGTGAAGCCCTTTTTTGGTGCCCCCCACCGCGATATTGCTGGAATATTTCTAAAAGCTTTGTAGACCAAAACTCACTCACACCCTCACTCATTATCTGTTGCTTCACGAGAAAGGCATTTAGTCAGCAATTTATGATAATCGTCTTCATGACAGTTGACATGTTTCTGTTATTTCATTGCAGATGCACAGCTCTAGTCCTCTCGGTCAGCCATCTTGTTTTAATCACTAAAAATGCCTGCAAGATGTCAGGAGTCCTCGACTGGATTGACCAATCTCTGGCAGATGTGGAGGACCACCTTCGGGTAGGAATCACAACCTTCTTGAGATCCCACAATACCACATACCCTCCAATATATGTACCCACTTCCTTGTTCATCCCTCCATGCAATACACAAACATCTAGATCTAGAAGCAAGATCAGATTTGTACAGGGAATGACACTTTTTCCATGTCCTTTTTTTCTTTTCACATTCTGACAAAAATATTGTTTTGTTTTCATGTTGTTTGTTTATGGATTATTTGTTATGTGTTTATTTTTATACATCATACCCACACATTCCTTGGAAAATCATGATGTGGTAGTTGTGTTTGTGGAGAGTAGGATAACCTCCTCACAGTCACATAGCTCTATCTAGTATTTCTTTCAGGTTATTTAACAAAAGTATTACACTCAGAAATGAATCCATCTTGCTTTCTGGGCTGAATTGATGCCACTAAATAATGGTTCACTTTGTGGTTGATTCTGTTGGATGTATTTTTGGCACATAACCTTGTTGGGATTACCTGTTTATTCTTGTGTTTTTAGCACACAGCAGGGTAGAAGCTTGTCAGTGTTTTCACCAGTCTTCCCATATCCAAAAGAACTTGTTTTGATGTTCTAATAATGTGCAAGTCTGACCTTGAATCTATATCATAGATACATCTTTTAATGTCTCATGAGACAAACGTGTATCCAGTTTTTACCCCACTTGCTCCCTCTGCTGAAAGAATACAGGGCTCCAGATGAATAGATTATTTATCGACAAGAACTTGAAAACATGAACACTGAAACTCAGCATGCTGAGTTGCATCTTTTATATATAAGGATATATATATAGGACTTTATCATCCAAAACTGGCTCCCACAGGAGATATTGCTTGGATGAGATCAAGCGATATCTACACTGTAGATATCACTGCAATGAAATTACATCACAATGCTTTGCAGACCATTGTGACATCACTGGTTACCATGACGTCACAATCAAATGACATCACTAATGGCTCTGCTACTGAAGCTGTTAGCAGTACTTTTTACACTGAAGACACTGCTAATTACTGTCTCCAAATTGAAAAAGTTGGAAGAATGATGTTGGATGATAAATAAAATCTCACCCTCGTGTCATTTGACATCAAATATATCAACACTTGTTGATAAAAGTGGCAAAAATCCTCGGCAAGCCTCGGAATTGTTCCACTTTTATTAACTCGTGTTGATATATTTGATATCAACTGACACTCGGGTGAGATTCTCTATTTATTTTATATATAGGGTTATTAGGATACTTTGCTTTACACAACCCATATATGAGGCTACAGGTTCAAACTAAAAGCTGCCATTCTTGTTTCGACTGAAGGTATTTATATTTCTGAGCCCAAAACAATGGCTTACTTTCACAATCTGTTGGCGCTTTCAGAGATTGTTTTTAATCAGCCGTCTGTCATTACTTAATTTTGAGCTCTGTCACCGTCACAACTGGTTTTCTCAACCTCTTGTTTATGATAGATGTTAGAGTCTGGTCATACCTGTCATGTATCATCATTGTATCAAATGTCACGGTCGGTTTGAAGGTCATTGGATACATGGAAATATCTACAATCAGAAAGTGTTGTTGTGTCATAAGTAGACTTCATATTTGTACCGCAACAATTAAAGTGCTCAAAACTTCGTTATTATCGGAGCTAGAGGCATGTGACTTTCCCAAGCCAGAAGTGATGTTAAACCAGAAGATCTTATACTTATAACATTGTTATCATGGTAGTCAGAGGCATAGACTTATCGGTTCAAAGTTGACTGCATTGGTCATGCATGTTATCATGGTAGTCGGAGGCATAGACTTGTCTGTTCAAAGTTGACTACATTAGTCATGTGTGTTATCATGGTGGTCGGAGGCATAGACTTGTCTGTTCAAAGTTGACTGCATTGGTCATGCGTGTTATCATGGTAGTAGGAGGCATAGACTTGTCTGTTCAAAGTTGACTGCATTGGTCATGCGTGTTATCATGGTAGTTGGAGGCATAGACTTGTCTGTTCAAAGTTGACTGCATTAGTCATGCGTGTTATCATGGTAGTCGGAGGCATAGACTTGTCTGTTCAAAGTTGACTGCATTGGTCATGAGTGTTATCATGGTAGTCGGAGGCATAGACTTGTCTGTTCAAAGTTGACTGCATTGGTCATGCATGAAGTTAACTGTCTCCTTATAATGTGGTCAAAAGTTTAACAAAAAGGGTACTGAAGAAGCTGTCTGGAGCCCTGTATGAACTGGGACAGGATCCTAGGTTAATCTTTAGATTCCATACCTCTGTATATTATATTTGGTCAGGCTCAGTTTGGGAAACATGTGAGCATAGCTGACTGCTTCGGTCATCAAGACTTCTCTTGGAATGAAATCAAACTGACTGATTGAATGGAAGACAATCTGATACTAAATTTATCTAGAATGTGGGTTGGTGTTGTCAGAATGTTGCTTTTTCCCATCTAACATGTTTGAATTTGGAAAAGTTGGGTGATAAATCCACTATTGGTTCTCAGGCACTGAGATGACAGCCACACAGCCTCCTTGAAAACACATGTACCATGGAACTTGGAGCATTTTTGACAATGTATACATGTTATCTAGGTGCATATAATACACCAGAAAATAGTGTATATAAAGACAGTCTGGATTCCTAGGCAGCTCATTGACAAAAGACTTCACAGTTTTTTACAAATATATTTTACAAATCAGTGCCTCATAACCAATTGTTTTATGATTTATGATGAGGCCAGACCAATCAATGTTCTTGATTTCGATATGAGTCCGTCCTATTTTGCTAAAAGTGAAAAAATAAGAGATTGTTTTTGATTGAAAACATGTGTTAATGAAACTTATTTACACTTCTCTGCATTTTTGTTTTAATTTTTTTCGGGCAACATGTTCAAGAAATTAACTCATTTCGGTTTTTTAAAACCTTTTTTTCACCCACCTTCTTTAAAAGAAAGTCTGTGAAACAAGGCAACAAATTGGTCTGGTGTGATGGTGATGGTGGTGATGGTATGGGGTGGTGATGGTGATGGGATAGTGATGGGGATGATGGTGATGGTCTGGTGTGATTGTGATGGGGATGGTGGTGGGATTGGGTGATGGGGATGTTGGGATGGTGATGGGATGTTGGGATGGGGATGTTGGTGATGATGGTGATGGTGATGGGATAGTGATGGGATGTAGCTCTTGTCGTAGACCTTAACATGTCAGCCACTAACATAACCCGCTTGTTTTGTAGATAATGAAAATCATGGCGAACAATGAACCTGGTGTAGGTTAGTATCACTAACAATGCTGATACCATATTTCCTCTAATAGATGCTGGATCTAGATGTACTGTCAAAACCACATTTGAAGAACTGGTCTCTAAAACGCTGGGCATGTATTACAGTAATAATTGTCCTTATTTAGAAAGTATAGTCCCTAACTTACTGTGAAAACATAGAGCCCGGGTCTTCAATACGTACAAGATGATGTAATATAAGTACGCAAGCAGCATCAGTTGGAGGAAATATGCTATGCTTATGCCACAACAAATTAATCACATTTATATGGACAGTGTTTTGTGTTTAGAATTTGTTATAATACCCTTGACCTTTTAGGTCAGGGGTATATAGTTATACCAGGGGTCCGTCCGTCCGTCTGTCCGTCTTAAAACTTTGTCAGCGCGATTTCTCTTAAACTATTCAGTGGATTCATCTCAAACTTAATACATATAATCTGTGTCATATAGGGGTGCAGTCAAAAGAAAAAAATTGTTTTTATTAATTTCCCATTTTTGTATGAATTTTCAAACCCTAGTGCTATCGATTATTAAATTTGAAACTACTGACACACTAGGCGGGTCGGGGGTATTCGTGAGCCTTGTTTTTGGTTTGCTTTTACCTATCATTGATGACTGCTGTCTATTTATTTGCTAAGTTTACATGTTTCAAAAGGCCTGGTTTGGGCACACCATGGCCGCAGTTTCAGGTGAGCTTTTCCTGATGGTTAGTCTGTCTGTCCATTCTCTGAGACAGAATATTGAAGAACTTGGAAAAAATATTTTCAAATTGTGTCCAATTTATCTGCTATAAAAGGGCTTGGTCCAGTTCAAGGGCTTGTAACCATGTCCATATTGCTGAGTGCACCATTAAATAACAAGAAGAAAAAACAACAAGAGCATGTAGATAGAGCTGTTACAATGAGCCTTGCAGTAATAAAATATGTCTCCATCATCATGTTGAGATATGATTCATTATTTGTGATACATGCCTGGAAAGTGGAAGGTCGGGGTTTCGATCCCTGGCCTTGTCATACCAAAAGACCTTAAAAGATGGCACTTGTACCCTGACTGGCACTCAGCAGTAATGGAAAGTTCGGATCGGAGTCAGTATACTGTGTCTGAGCATGCTGAGTAGGATATTCATGCGAAACTGTGGCATGGTATCTCAGTGGGCTAGTATATCATGGTATATAGAATCGGCATCAGTACAGACAAGTACAAGCAGCCACACGTGCATGCATGTCGTTGTATAAGAGCAATAATCTTGGACGCAACGTTAAACCCCATTTCACCTCAACTCATTCGTGACATTGATGCTCAATTTCTTATTTATATGCAGTGTCTGAAATAGTTGCTTGCCCACTATCCTGTGACTGGAACACAAGACACTTGCCCAGAGCAAATTTGTAAAGTTTAACTAACATTGATTTCTGACTATCTGAATGTGTATGTCAGATAAACAGTTGGTTTTTTTAGCCATTTTCACACTAATTGACTGACACATTCTTGTCCAATATTCACCTGTCATTTTGTTCAAGCTACCTCGACACCAGTATAGCAATTCACAGAGACATGACTTTGTCATGACTACAAGCCCATGTAGGCAGTGATCAGGTCTTGTTACCTCCTAACACTGAAGCATGTTGTACCTGCTCACCTGTCCCTCCTCATTGTGACTTGGAACAAAAGAACAAAAGTTCACCAGTAAAACTTACTTCCTTATTGTGTATTGAGGTCATCACGACCAACCTGTTTCTGTCTTTTAAAGGGGCGGTAAGGTAGCCTAGTGGTTAAAGCGTTCGCTCATCACGCCGAAGACCCGGGTTCGATTCCCGACATGGGTACAGTGTGTGAATTGGTGTTCCCCACCATGATATTGCTGGAATATTGCTAAAAACGTCGTAAAACCTTCCTCACTTACTCACTGTCTTTTGAATCTTAAAGAAGGGGGCACCGACTTTAGGCCAGATTTTGATGGGTTTTCGAATTCCACTAACAAATATCTGAAAAGTGGAAACATTAGGATGTGACATATGATTAAGTCCCACTGCATATGCTGGGTACATTGCAACATTCAGATAATGTTTTGGACCCCCAACCCCAAGTCTGTTTTATACGATTCCTTCCTCCTGTCATGCCTGTAGACAATCTTTTCGCTAACAAAATCTCAAACCCTATGTACATGCTGATGCTTTAGGGTTTTGAATTTTAAGTCTGTACCATATTCACCATAATAAGTACCCTGGGACTTAGAAAGTTGACAATTGGGGAAATAATCAACGCCATGCCCACTAAGTTCAATTTGTTGTCAGAGATAAACAGTACAAAGCAAACATTGGTCATGCTGATGAAACTAATTGTTTTCTATGATAGTTATGAGGGAGTAACATTTCCTTTCTACACAGGTGTTTTCTCCAGATAATCTGTAATATGCACATGAAAATATGGACTCTTCAAAGTTGTCGGTTCAAGTATGTGGTAGGAGGGCGTTTAAAAGGATTACTTACAAATTAATCAATTTTTTTTTGGAGCAGGCACTAAATATAGCAACTACGGTACTTTGCTGTGCCAAGACATTTCAGCGATGTTATGTCATATATCTCCTTTGACATTTTGTTGAATTATTGATATGTCAAGAACAAGGCCATCCTCAAGGTCATATAGCCTAAAAAAAGTTTGATTGATAAATTGAGAGGGATTCTGGCATGTTCATTTGTGTAGCAACGTGTTACAAATGGTGACACTCTGTACACTCCGAGAGTCACAAAATATACCTGCGGTTCCCAAGTTGGAAGGGTATTTATTATCAATCTCAGTGAAAAGGAAGCGGGTAAACATGAAAAAGAATAATCTGAAGTTTACAGGATAAACAACTTTTCTATTGGACGAGATAAGGTCACATGACCGAGAAACTGATGTTTATAAGGGTCAGAATGAAACATTTAGGATGCTAATTTGTTTTTCATGAGACTGAATTCTTTAAATGACAAACATAGACTGACTACTTCCACATTCCTGGAGAACGCATATTATCTGGCTCATGATCTCACAACAACAGTTTTACCCAGGGGAACTTAGTTTAGATTCCTAGTAAAAAAAATTGTAACTTTATCTGCAAATTCTAAAATTCAGGCGTTCTCCAGAGCCTTATGTCTCTACCTTTTGCAAAGCTCAATTTCACAAGGTCTCTTGGGGACCCAACCTCCTGATCTAAACTTCCAGTTGTTCATTTAAACAATAGCAGGGGAATGTGTCAGTTGCAGTTTCAGACATCAATTTACACAAGAGAGTGTTCTTTCTGCTGCTGACTTCACACAGTTAGAGGCCCAGTTATCAGTATTGAAAATGACGTGAAACAAGGCAGCTGTATTATGGGCATTAGACAAAAGTGAGTGAAGAGTATGGCTTTTTGTCCCTCTCCGCAGTATTCCAGCTGTATTGCGGGGCATCACAAATGGGCATCACCCAATGTACCCATGTCGGGTATTGAACCTGGCCAATGGCTTTAACCACTAGCCTACCCCACAGCCCCCATTAGACAAAGAATGTATACCCCCTGTGGGGATTCTGGGTTAGAATTGGTCCCCCAGCTGCCTCTGCTGGTCGTAAACAGTGGCTAAGTGAATCGGGTGGTCAGACTTGGTGACTTAGTTGATAACGTTTGTGTGCCCCAATGGAGTGGATTATTGCTCACAATATCAATCGCCTGATTGTCTGGTCCAGATTTGATTATTTACAGGTCTCTCTGTGTGTGTCGCTGTTAAAGAATAAACAAACTAACGAAAGAAAACCAGTCACACAGCTCTATGTCTTAGACAGTGTGTCCATTGTTTTAGCATCAGTTAAGATACTTTGGAGCAGTGTGTTAAATAATTGTTTAGTCAGTGGTAGCTATGTAATGTTTTACGAGCCAATTTCAGACTTAAGTAGCCAGTCTTTTTTACCCGACAAAATAGAGGACACTTATTTCAAATTTCGACATGGTTAGAACTTCAATCTGATCTTTTACTACTGTCAGGTACATGCACTTACCCCTGTAAAAACGATTGCAATCTTGACGGTAGTTAATCAATGTAATGTGCTGACGACCATTAGTGGTCAAATGGCTGCGTCAGAAGTTACTTATGACAATATGAGGCATTCCGAAACTGAGAGAAGTCGTCTTTTCCTTTAAAGTTGTGACGGTTGATGACCTCCTTTTAATGACCGATATCATTGTTTTAAGAATTAAGTCTTATTTTTCAAGTTAACATTTTTTATTTGAGATGAGAGTGTAACGTAAAAAGAAAATAAAGTTAGTTGGGCTACGTATACGGTTTGTCACCTCTTACAACATGCATGGGTTGCTGAAGACCAATTCTAACCAGGATCTTCACGGTTTAAGATAGAAAGAGATCATATGTTTGTATATGTCTGTCTGTCTGTCTGTCTGTCTGTCTGTCTGTCTGTCTGCCAACTCCATTTACTGCTGAGGCCACTCACCTTAAACATGAATTTATTATGATGTGGCCCTGTCACTACCGTTTATGCAGTCAGACAATCTGTTCTCTTATGAGTCGTAACCATGACAACTGTTTTCACTTGGCCTTGTTTAAGATTCCAGATTTTTGTCCCCAGGTCCTACGAGAGGCGAGTCTGAACAATGAGTATTACAATCCCCCTCAGACAGACATCACTATTACAACGACGCCGGACATCGAGGTACAGATGCCGCAGCCAGAGATCGTCATGCAAGCAATATCGTCCAACAGCTCGTCTCAAGTGTGAACATGCCAGATATTTGTATGAAAGTGGATGCATATTCTAAGTACTGCTTTAATCATGAAAAATAATAAATGGTTGTCTTTGTAAAAGTCCGAAATGACATTGTGGTTAGTTGCAGTGTGTAGATGACTACCATCCAGAGCAGACCCGTAGTTAGGCATGGGTAGGACAAGGTTGATGTTTTTAAGCCCTGCTATTAGGATTGTTTTATTCTGTGACTTTTTTTATTCTGTTGGCTGTCTTATTCTGTGACTTTAATCACTGGTCCTCAGAGCTCCAGATAAGCTTTTGGTGTTGTGGGTATTTTACCCATGCATTTTAAAATCATTGGGTATCAGTAATTCTATCTGGGTATTCAAATTTCTGTTACCCACTAGTTTTATGTGGGTATTTAAGTTAAATATTTAAAAACACTATTCATCTAGTCCCTGCAAACTGGTGTCGTGTGGGTTCGAGAGCTTTATAGGACTCAAAAATACCACGATAATTCCACAAGAAAGTGTGATGGCAAATGATCATGATGTAACTGTCATCGTGGAGTTTGGCAAGGTTGACGGAATGCCCGTTTATAATTTCAAAATAAGTTGCTGATTTGCTAATCGAATAGGCAGGGTTACTTCACAATATTTTGATGATGCACACAAGTTTTATTTTTGTAGCGTATCTGTAATTTTGTTGCGTATTTGATGCGCTTGGATTTTATTTTACTGCGTATTTCTGCATTTCTGATGCGTATTTTACGCAGACACGCAGCTTATCTGGAGCTCTGTGTCCTCCCTGTGTATGATGCAGCAGTCTTTGTTTCACAAGGCAACGTCTATTTTGTTTCTTGGTGTAATGAGATATATACTATTCAAAAGAAGATAAAGGACACCCGATTTCCAGGTGTTCTTTAACTTATTTTAAATTATATGTGACAGGATTGTCTGAAGGTGAGCAATGGTAATACGTCTATACTGACAGTATAAGTTTATCTATTTCCTTGATTGAATTTCATTGATGGAAGTTAAGGACGTCCAGACCTAGAGTCATCATCAAGGCTTGTTCTCCCAGCCATAAGGGTGCGTGGTATTACCAGCATTCAGTACATTGAGGTTCCTTCACTCCATGATACGTATCACAATATCATTGTTTAATGCTTGGTATATTGGGTGATTTCAAAATGTGTTTAACTTTATATACTTGCCAAATATACATATTTATTAAATGAGTATTCAGTATTTTGGAAAAAAAAGAGTTTTTCGAGTATTATGTACAGAAAAAAATGACATATCACTTCAGCAAATGGGTGACAACAAACGTGGTTCAGTACAAATTTGAGCTAAAACATCACTTGACATGTTGATTTACTGTTTCGTTTGTAATTCTTGTTCTATGCATTGTTTTATATTAAGAGATTAAGTTTACCGTGTGTATTTTCTCTGAAACTAAGTCAAGTACAGCAATCAGCTGTACACGTGTTTTCTCCCAATGTGCTGGTGATTTGGTTAAAAAGTACCCAACAAGAATTTTGATGCTATGATCGGAAGAATTTCTTGGGGAGTACTTGATGACTGCTTGGTACACATTCCTTTCCATTTCGACTCCAATTACATTCAAAGAGGCAGTCGGGTAGCCTAGTGGTTAAAGCGTTCGCTCGTCACGCCGAAGACCCGGGTTCCATTCCCAACATGGGTACAATGTGTGAAGCCCATTTCCGGTGTCCCCCGCCGTGATATTGCTGGAATATTGCTAAAAGCGGCGTGAAACCATGCTCACTCACTCACTCACTCACTCACGATTACATTCAACTGGCTGTCACTAATATACAAACAGCCTTAACAGACCAAATGCACTTGCAATGAACGACTCAAACAATGTACTACACTGACTTGTTCACTTTGTTATCGCCCATAGTTGAAAGTTTGTCTGGCTTAGAACATTTTGACCAGCCCCGTACTTATAACATCTTTGACACAAGAAACAAGGTAGCTTTGGACCTACAGTGTTATTCATTTGGTCAGTCCTTGTATAATTTGCATCTGTGAACTTTCTGCCTTGACTTCCACTGTTTCAGATAATTTCCTTCAGTTTTCTTGATATCCATGGGTGTTTGTAGTTGAACAGGAGGGTTTTAAAGTAGTTATAACATGTCACTAACACTGTGTTGTTTGATATCAAATATGGTCATGAGCTTAATAAGTCAAATGTGGTCGTCAGTGTCCTTGTTCATTAAACGTTTTCAAGTATAGCTACATATTCCATTTTATATTTAACCAATTATGCTTTTGAATACTCAATTTGAATATGAAAATTAATGAAAGCAACAGCCTGAAGAGTAGATTTGAAACTTTTATGGGTGGCATGGGTGGCCCAGTCATCTCAGTCGCCGCGATTCACTGTGTAGAGTTGCGTCCCTTGGGCGTGCCAGAAACCTATGATTGTGGGGTCGAATCCCGGTTCGCACAGATTATGTTTCAATTTTTGTCAGCACCATACCCGTACTTATGGGTTTCACTGAAGTGGTAAACGTCTGAGACCTGCAATACTTCGGGCTTTCCTTCCACATTAAGCTGACATGCCATGATATAACTGGAATAATGTTAAAAGCAGGGTTGAACCCAACTCACTCACTCACTGGAACTTTTATGGCATGATTGATACAGTAAATATTGTACTGGTAAAGTCAGTATTAAGTTAAGATACTTAAGTTTTATCAATTCCCTAAGGCCACAGTAAATTAATTATTGGATTTTTAATCATTTTTTTCACCCCAAAAAGTCAGCATTTTTGTTTGGAAAAGAATAATTTTGAAAACAAAACTGTTCAAGACTTCTGTTTACATTGACTGCTGACAAATGTGATTAACATGACTGATTGGTAGATCAATGTATTGGATGTATTTAAAGTAAAGAAACAAGGTGACACATGTAACGATTTTCATTTTGTAGGTACATTAACATGATGGGAATCAGTGTTCAGTAGTGAGACAGCAGGTATTAATATCTAACACTTTATTTATTATGGCCTCTGGTAAGGCTGTAAGATACATGATTTGTCAGAGAAAAGATTGGTAAATGTTTAATTCCATAACTGTGAAATAACTGTGTGAATATGCAATAATGTTTCTGTCTTGTTAATGTGTAAGCTACAGGTTGTTGGCAAGAATGATGACAGCGGTATTGCTGTTGCTCTGCATCAGGACAAGTCCTTGTTCATAAACCAACAAATGACAGCTTCAGCTCCTCGAGTCAGATCTATACACATGGTTGTTATACAGAAATAATGCCTGGAGTTTCAGGACAGCTTGTTGGACGTTAAATATTGGACAGGCAGACACTTAGTTGTGTGTGTTATGGCGTCAGAAAACGGAATTTGTTTTCTATTGTTTTGTATTGTTTTATGCAAAGATAATGGATGCATTTCTCAAGGTTCAAGGGCTAAGGTCAGCTTTGGATAGCCTGTATGCTGGAATTTAATCTCCTATCAGTTCAGTTTCTTATATACTTCTCAAAAGAAGTTAAAAAAACGTTGAGACAGACCATTCTGTCTTTTTCACTACGGAGGTGCTTTGATTGACTCAATTACTGAAATGATTTTCTGTGAGACGAGTAATTTTATTTTCTGTTTTTGTTCATCACACTCCTGAACAGGATAAATTGTTTTCCATATTTATTTTTATGCAATGATATAACTGGAATAATATCTAGCAATTTTTTCAGTGAACAAGTAAGCCCATTTATTAGTGTTTAGATCACGTGAGCACCTCCTGGTTCTATTAATTTACCTTTTGCTTGGATGGAACTTATAGTGCTAGAACCATGCTGGTAGTTCATGTCCCATGCTGGACAACAGTTCTTGTAAATAATGGTTGCTACAGTAACACTCACTCACTCACTCACTCACTCACTCACTCACCCTCAATAATATTTTGTGAACCGAGGAAGCTACAGCTGACATAGACTTTTGAACCTTGGAATAGGTTACGTTTCCCGTGTTTGTGATCGTTAGTGCTTTCTAGCTTTAATTTTTAACACTTGAGATTACCACTCATCATAATATGCAAACATGTAACCATGGTAACTAATATTCATATCATCCTGGTTTTCTGTATTTGTGTTTGTATCTTCACAAGATGTCATCGGGAAAGTCGCGAGGTCGACGTCCTTCATCTCGTCAAAGCTCAGTAGAATTATAGTGCTATAGTCACATTTGCCGAAGGGTTTGTTGTCATAGAGGGTACTACAGAAATGTACCGTTCTTTATATGATGTACACTTGCTGACCACTGCATAGCACTGAGCAACATCAGAGTCGGTGAAACTTGTTCCTCTTCTAATGTCCTGTAGGCAGACAGTAAGATTAATCACAGGCTCTAAAAAGATCCATTTTATGTAGGGCTGTACATTTCCCAAATAATTGTGTTGCAATATATAGGGAGCTAAAGTGTTTGACACAGATTGTACATGCAGATCCTATTTTCTTCATATTGACGTAAATAATACTCATCGCAGCCATTTTGTTGTCATAGAAACAGGGGAGATAACAATGTGAGAGAAACATCAACCCGCATTTCAGCTGCTTTTCTGAATCACTTTCGAGGGCAAACATATGTAAAAGAATTCTGTGTAGATTTTAGGTTAAATGATACAAATAATAACAAACCTTGTTATATATTGTTTTCCCAATATACCGGAAGATTGAAAAAATTATTGCAATACGTAATGTTTAAAAAACGTATTGCCGTATACCACTTATACCATGCAGTCCTAATTTCATGGCAACACCAGAGTGGCCACTTCCTAACATCAACCTATTCCAGCAGCATGCAATATTTACGTCTTGTGGTTAAACAGGAACTGGTTTTGTTCACCATTCAATAGATTAGCCCCGGCGCCATGTGCCATGTAGTGGTCACCCTGGATACATCCATGCAGCCCCCTTCAGCACCACTTGCAGGTTTGTGTCGGATGTTGGAAACTCTTCGAGATCAGGAGCATGTTTCAAAGAAACTTTATCAAAACTGTGGAGCTTAGAATTGGAATATTATAATCATTGAAAGACTGGAAACAGAAATTGATTGTAGTGTGCTGTTATTATGTTATTGTGAACCTTGTAAAAAGATAATGTGATGAGATTAGTTTGATATATATTTCATGTCTTTTATGATCTGAGAAAAACTCATTTGTATACCATGCATGTATAAATACTGTACTCTGATTAATAAGTGCCTCAGTTGAATGTGAGTGTAACCCGTGGTAACATGAGTCCTGATCGTTGAAACCGTGCAAAAATGTCCACCTGATGTTGAAGTTGTGTAAAACTTGACTCTGAAAACGGATTTTTTTAAGGTCTTTATTCATGTTCATACAAGGTAGTAGGGTAGCCTCGAGGTGAAAGCATTTGCTTGCCAC